CGGGGCCGCGAAGGGGCCGCGAGGGGCCTGGAAGGGCGGCGACGGGCCGCTAGGGGCGGCGACGGGGCCGCGAAGGGGCCGCGAGGGGCCTGAAAGGTCGGCGACGGGGCCGCTAGGGGCGGCGACGGGGCCGCGAAGGGGCCGCGAGGGGCCTGGAAGGGCGGCAACGGGGCCGCTAGGGGCGACGACGGGGCCGCGAAGGGGCCTCGAGGGGCCTCGAGGGGCCTAGAAGGGCGGCGACGGGGCCGCTAAGGGTGGCGCGAGGGGAAGAAAAAAATCGTCGCACGCAACGTGGCGTGCAACGCACAGAGTAGCAGCGGAAGCAGTTAGGTGGGCCCACAGGCCAGGAGCGTAGATGCTCTGATAGCATGTGAAAAATGAGGAATGGAAGAAGGGTGGTTGCACTAGCAGCAGTTGGCATACATATAGGAAACCCTAATTGGGTTGTACTCGCTATAGAGTACCCCACTGCAGGCTAGACAATTATAACATTCTGACACTTTTTTATAGGTGACTGTGTAGTGGAAGTTTGACTCGAGGAAATCGAGCCACCGAATCTGTCGTGGGTTGAGGTGGGGCTGTGCGCGGAGGTACTGTAGTGATCGGTGGTCTGTCCGTACTGTCACGTCTGCGCCGGTCAAGTAGCAGCGCCACACTTTGAACGCATGCACGATCGCGAGAATTTCGCGGTCGTGTATCGGGTAATTTCGCTCGGGCGGATGCAGTTTTCATGACTCGTATGCGATGGGCTGTAGGCCGTTGCCGAAGTCCTGTAGTAGTACGGCTCCAATGGCGATGTCGCTTCCGTCTGTAACAACCTCGAAGGGCGGTGTGGGTCGGCGATGCGCAGGACGGGCGGTGAACAGAGAACATTTTTCAGGGCAGAGAAGGCAGCATGCTCTTTCTCCCCCCAAGTAAAAACGACCCCCTTTCGCAGTAAATCCGTCAGCGGGGCAGTCAACTGTGCCATGTCGGGGACGAACCGACGTACATAACTAACGAACCCTAAAAAGCTCTGCAGCTCCGTGATGTTCGTTGGGGGATGCCACGCTTTTACCGTATCCAGCTTCTTTGGGTCGATTTCAACTCCAGCCTCCGAAATAACGTGCCCCAAAAATTCTAACCTATCCTGGAAGAACTCGCACTTGGAACCCTTGGTCAGTAATCTGTGCTCGTCTAAAACCTTAAACACTGCTTCCAGATCTGCTAAGTGCTGCTGCTTATCCCGACTGTACACTAGGATGTCGTCGAGGTAAACGATCACACATTTATCTAAGAGCGGCCTAAATGCCTCGTTCATGGTCATCTGAAAAGTCGCCGGTGCGTTGGTCAGCCCGAATGGCATCACAGTGTACTCGAACGACCCGTACCTAGTCCTGAAAGTTGTTTTGGCGCAGTCCGATGGTTCGACCCTAATCTGATGGTAACCTCCCCGTAAATCTATTTTCGAAAAAACCCGTGCTGTTCGCAGTTGGTCGATCAGTTCGTCGGCGCGGGGAATTGGGTACCGCGACTTGACTGTTACCCTGTTCAGTGCTCTGTAGTCGATACACATGCGAAAACCCCCGTCTTTTTTCGGCGTGAATAGTATCGGTGCGGCGAACGGTGACGAGCTCGGTCTGATGATTTTTTTCTCTAACAGGTAATCTAACTGCTTCCTTAGTTCGTCGAGCTCGGGCTGTGTCAGTCCGAACTGGCGCTGTACGGTTGGCTGTGCCCCCGGTTCTAATTCGATTCGGTGGTCATGTGCTCGCTGAGGTGGCAGTCCTTCCGGTAAGTCGTCGGGGAAAATCCCGGGGTATCGTTTCAACAGTTCCTGTAATTCGGGCGGTACGGCTGCCAACAGTGTCTGAAAATCGCTCGGCTGCTCCGCTTCTCCTACAAATGCTATATCTACTGCGTACACGTCAGCTCCAGCGGCGACAACCCGTTTCATCGTGATGGCGTTGACGTGGACCGTTGAAGACTCGGGCGACTGCCAGCGAGGTAGCATGACCCAGTTACCGCTACTTCGCACAGTGCAGCTACCCGTCGTCCAGTCGATTCGTGGGTTATACCGTCGTAGCCAATCACGTCCCAGTAAAACATCATGCCCATCCAATGCCGTCGCGAGCATTTCCTGTATAAACCCGAAGTTTCCTCCGCAGCGAACTTTTAGTCTCTCCACCTTTTCCCGTATGGCCAGCGGCGTGCCATCAACTAAGCGTGCGTCGATCTCAGGTAAGCAGCGACTAAGTGTCAGTTGTAATTTTCGCGCAGTTGCGGTATTAACTAATCTGTGGCTTGCTCCTCCGTCAATAAAAATCTTCACTGCTGCTCCCTGTGTTTTCCCGTGGATCAGTACTGGGCAATCCGTCGTTGTACCCTCCTTATTCATCCGAGCCCGATCGATGGCGTGAATCGGTACTGTGACTCGGTGAGGGTCGGTGCGGTTGGGCGAGCAGGCCGTCTCGTCAGTAGTTGGCCCAACTTCTACTGACTGCTGGCGTTTCCCTGCCTCTGAGACTCCCTTCCCTGCTCTGCTCCGCGGCGCCTTAGCTCCTCCGGGCATTCGCTCTTGCGATGGCCCGGCCTGTTGCAAGCAAAGCAGCACCCCTTAAACGGTGCGGCAGCTGCATTCGTTGCAACAGCGTTTACAGTGGCGTGCTCGATCGGTCCCCGAGGACGATGTCCGTAGTAGGACCCCGGTCTCGGTCGGCGTAGAATGTCGATTTTCTCGGCGAGCGCGAGAATCTCGTTGAAGTTTGAGAGTCCGCGCAGCATGATTTCGTGCGAGATATCCGGCTTCAGCCCTCCGACGTAACGGTCCACCCGCTCCGCTTCGTGCATGTAGCCGACCTGCTCGCAAAGTGCGAGAAAACCGCTCGTGTAATCTTGAACCGACCCGAGCTGCCACCAAGTGCGCAATCTCTGACGCGCCGAAATAGAAGCCGCGATCGGCTCGAAGCGCGCCCGAAGCCCTGCGCACCACGCATCCCACGTGCGGTATTGGGCGGTCTCGCAGAATGAACTCCAGGTGATAGCTGGACCCGTGGGCCCTTCCTCTTGCGACGGTGGCTCGTAGGCGCGTGGCGACGTCACGATGACTCGCCACCAGTCCATGGCGGGGCCCCTTAACAGCGAAACGGCATACCGAATCTTCGCTGCGTCCGACTCGACGTAATTCGCGTCGAAGAAGACGTTCATCGTGAAAACCCACGATTGAACCGTCGGACCTCCACGCTGGCTCGGGTCGAAACAGGGCGGGCGTTGCGGCTTGAGTGGCATTGGTGCCATGATGGCCTGTTCGCCACTTGTCGCCGCGAACTCCACGTGCCGACGGGCTTCGCGAGGCTCCCGCGGGCTTGGCGCGCCCCTGTTTCCTCCCATGCCAGGCATTGGTTGGGCGGCGCTATCACTGGCTGCGCCCGAGCGCTGTCCCACGCTGTCGTGTTGTGTTGGTGTCCCGGACGAGATGACGATTGGCTCGTCCGATTGTGCAGGTGCATTTGTTGGTGCGTGTGGTGCTGCTGGAGTGTTCACCGTTGATTGCTGACGCGTGGAGTCACGTTCCGCTGTGAGCATCGCAATTTCGAGCGCCGAATCTTCGAGTTGGCACACCAGACGGTCGAGCTGCTCCTGCGTCAATGTGGCGAGCGTGAATTCGGCCATGGCGGGGGTGTCGGGCTAGCTCAGCGAGAGCCTCAGTCGTGGCCGTGCGTGCTTACGAGAGAGCACTACAAGCGGCGGTGCTGTGTCGCTGAGGGACGTCTACCCCCCCCAAAAATTGAGATAGTGGGGAAGCGAAGGTGTGGGTGCGGTCCGAGAAGAGGTCGTAGGCTCTGAATACCAAGTGTTACGAGTGCAATTGAGTGAACGAACGAGAATTGCACTATCGAAGCAAGAGTACAATGAGCGAAGGTATGAGCGAAGAATATATAGCGAAACTACAGTGGTAACGGTAATGGACTGTGGTTGTCGCGCGACGGGCCTGGGACTGAGGTTGGGAAAAGTGTCGAAGCGGAGGCCCGGAGCGCGGGTTACCCGCCGAGCCGTGAGGTTGGGGTGCGACGTGCGAAGGTGGCGGGCGGATTGTCGATGCGAGGATTGCGAGTGGTAACGGTGCTGACTGTGGTGCTACAGTGATGTACGCGTTGAGCAGGGACGCGAAGTAAGGAAAAAGAGATTTTCCTTACACTGCTCTATGCTTTTGCTGTACATGGTTACGACCTTGTATAACCTTAACCTTAAAACCCGCAGGCCAAGAAGGCCAAATTTGGCTCATCCTTCCTAGCGTTGGTTGGATGTCCCAAAAATGCCTGTGATCATTCCCGAATTCTAGACCTCGTCCAACATTTCGGACACTCCTATTGGTTCGCAGGCCTTTTGTGTTTTCACTCCCAACCAACCTTCCTAAGGTTGAAATTCTTGGCCTGCGGGTTTTAACCCTCCCATCCCATCCAGAATGTGAACCCAGAAATGTGTTTCGAGGTTGGTGGAGCATAGAGTCTTGTTGAGTCCCGGACCGATCCTTGCGTTCCTTCTGCTCCTTGGGCTGTTTGTTGTACAGTTCCTTGGACGGCATTAAGATTGAGTGACTTGTGAAGCAGCAACGCATGCCAATGTGAGGCATCGACATTTCGCAGTCCTGTCATACGTAGATCCTATACATGTTACCTTTTCTTCTACGTTTTCCGTACGCGACAGAATGATACCCTCTACAGCTTCGCGCTGCTGGGTGTGCATGTTACGCGGGTCGCATAGCTAAAAAGAACACAGTTCCAACCCACACATTCGTGGAAAGAGGATCGTTCTGAGTCGTCTCAAGCCAAACTCATTTCACGTGCACCCATTACCAAGCCACACACTCTCCGTTTCTCGTCGACGCCACAGCAGCTGCCACAATGCTGCCATGCTGCCTGGCGGTGTGGGGATGCGCGTGCTGCGGGTGGGCCGTGCACCGCCTCGTCCGCAAGGGCGCGGACGCCAGCCGCGACTGGCCCGCCGCGTCAAAGGACGAAATGGCGGACTTTCCGCGCCTCGCGACCCTCATACTCGCGTCGTACGAACCCGACTTACCTAAGTGCCTACAGCTCCTAGAGTCCGTTTCCGACGATCACGGTAACACCCCCCCGCAAACCGACGCTGCCGCTGCCGGGAAACCATCCAAACAAAGCGACTCCGACGCCACGCACGCGCAATCGGCGAAGGAAAAGGACCCCGATTCCGAATCCAACGGCAAGGACGGTCAGCCGAAAGGAAAGCGGGAAGTGATAGAGGCGCGCGTGCTGCGGAAGGTGGAGCAGCGGGAGACGGAGGGGCAGTGCCCGTCGTACCTAGTGTACCTGGACGAGGCGAATGAAGACATCACCGTGGCCATGCGCGGCATGAACCTGACTCAAGTGTCGGACTATGCGATCCTCAGGAACAACCGCAAGGGCAAGCAGGTCCGTGCGTCCTCACGAACGCTCCCCGCTTGTCCAGGTGTATTTTGAGTCAACTCAAAGTACACTTGAACCTGACGGTACTGTCGGACTATGGGATCCTCCGGAACAACCGCAAGAGCAAGCAGGTCCGCGTTCCGCCTGTCCGCTCTCCGCTTCCCACTACCTTCTGTCCATTGCCGCTCTCGTGTTGTTGTTTTTCTCTTCTTTTTTTCCATGCTTTGCCTTTTTAATCTGCTTTCCTGCATTCAATCTCCCTCCCCGCTCCATCGTCCACTGCCCCCCTCATTGTCCAGAAGGTCAGTACAGAGCTCAGCCGTGACTTCCCTCTCCCCCACCCGCTCTCCCGCTTCCCTCCTCCCCTTGCCCCCCTCCCCCTTCCCCTCTCCCCCTCCCGCACTCCCTCCCTTCCCCCCTTCCCCCCCTTACCCTCCAGATGTTACGTGCACTGCGGTTTACTCGCCGCAGCAGGCGCGTTTCTGGATCTCGAGATGGACCACCTCAAGCGCCTCCTGCGCCGCCACCCCTAGCACACACTCACACCCACCGGCCACTCCCCTTGCCCACCCCATCCCCCCTTTCCCCATCTCGCCCATCCCCCTCTCCCCCTTCCCCTATTCCCTTTCTTTCCCCATTCCTGCTCCCCACTCTCCCCTTTGCCCTCCTCTCCCTCCTCTCGCTATGCCCCCCAAGATGTTCGATTGCGGTTACGTGCACTGCAGTTTACTTGCAGCAGCGGGCGCATTTCTGGATCTCGAGATGGACCACCTCAAGCGCCTCCTGCTCGCCTACTCCCCCGCCCCTATTTCCCTCTGGCGCTCCAGATGTTTGATGGAGGCTACGTGCACTGCGGGCTACTCGCAGCGGCAGGCGCGTTTCTAGACCTCGAGATGGACCATCTCAAGCGCCTGCTGCGCCGCCACCCCACTCACACTCTCACACTCACGGGCCACTCCATAGGCGCGGGTGTGGTGGCGCTGGCAGCCATGGTGCTGGCCAACAACCTGCGCGAGCTGGGCCGCGTGCGCAGAGGCCGCATCCGCTGCGTGGGGTTCTCTCCTCCGCGCTCTGCTTCTCTGAACCTGGCAGTGCGCCATGCGGATATCATCACCTCGGTCGTGCTGCAGGTGGGTGGTGCTGCAGGTGGGTGGTGCTGCAGGTGGGTGGTGCTGCAGGTGGGTGGTGCTGCAGGTGGGTGGTGCTGCAGGTGGGTGGTGCTGCAGGTGGGTGGTGCTGCAGGTGGGTTGTGTGCTGCAGGTGGGTGGTGCTGCAGGTGGGTTGTGCTGCTAGGTGGGTGGTGCTGCAGGTGGGTGGTGCTGCAGGTGGGTGGTGCTGCAGGTGGGTGGTGCTGGCAGGGGGGTGTGCTGCAGGTGGGTGGTGCTGCAGGGTGGGTTGTGCTGCAGGTGGGGGTGCTGCAGGTGGGTGGTGCTGCAGGTGGGTGGTGCTGCAGGTGGGTTGGTGCTGCAGGTGGGTGGTGCTGCAGGTGGGTGGTGCTGCAGGTGGGTGGTGCTGCAGGTGGGTGGTGCTGCAGGTGGGTGGTGCTGCAGGTGGGTGGTGCTGGAGTGGGTGGTGCTGCAGGTGGGTGGTGCTGCAGGTGGGTGGTGCTGCAGGTGGTGTGTGGTGGTGCTGCAGGTGGGTGGTGCTGCAGGTGGGTGGTGCTGCAGGTGGTGGTGCTGCAGGTGGGTGGTGCTGCAGGTGGTGGTGCTGCAGGTGGGTGGTGCTGCAGGTGGGTGGTGCTGCAGGTGGGTGTGCTGCAGGTGGGTGGTGCTGCAGGTGGGTGGTGCTGCAGGTGGGTGGTGCTGCAGGTGGGTGGTGCTGCAGGTGGTGGTGCTGCAGGTGGGTTGTGCTGCAGGTGGGTGGTGTGCTGCTGCAGGTGGGTGGTGCTGCAGGTGGGTGGTGCTGCAGGTGGTTGGTGCTGCAGGTGGGTTGTGCTGCAGGTGGGTGGTGCTGCAGGTGGGTGGTGCTGCAGGTGGGTGGTGCTGCAGGTGGGTGTGCTGCAGGTGGGTGGTGCTGCAGGTGGGTGGTGCTGCAGGTGGGTGGTGCTGCAGGTGGGTGGTGCTGCAGGTGGGTGGTGCTGCAGGTGGGTGGTGCTGCAGGTGGGTTGGTGCTGCAGGTGGGTGGTGCTGCAGGTGGGTGGTGCTGCAGGTGGGTGGTGCTGCAGGTGGGTGGTGCTGCAGGTGGTTGGTGCTGCAGGTGGGTGGTGCTGCAGGTGGGTGGTGCTGCAGGTGGGTGGTGCTGCAGGTGGGTGGTGCTGCAGGTGGGTGGTGCTGCAGGTGGGTGGTGCTGCAGGTGGGTGGTGCTGCAGGTGGGTGGTGCTGCAGGTGGGTGGTGCTGCAGGTGGGTGGTGCTGCAGGTGGGTGGTGCTGCAGGTGGGTGGTGCTGCAGGTGGGTTGTGCTGCAGGTGGGTGGTGCTGCAGGTGGGTGGTGCTGCAGGTGGGTGGTGCTGCAGGTGGGTGGTGCTGCAGGTGGGTGGTGCTGCAGGTGGGGTGGTGCTGCAGGTGGGTGGTGCTGCAGGTGGGTGGTGCTGCAGGTGGGTGGTGCTGCAGGTGGGTGGTGCTGCAGGTGGGTGGTGCTGCAGGTGGGTGGTGCTGCAGGTGGGTGGTGCTGCAGGTGGGTGGTGCTGCAGGTGGGTGGTGCTGCAGGTGGGTGGTGCTGCAGGTGGGTGGTGCTGCAGGTGGGTGGTGCTGCAGGTGGGTGGTGCTGCAGGTGGGTTGGTGCTGCAGGTGGGTGGTGGCTGCAGGTGGGTGGTGCTGCAGGTGGGTGGTGCTGCAGGTGGGTGGTGCTGCAGGTGGGTTGTGCTGCAGGTGGGTGGTGCTGCAGGGTGGGTGGTGCTGCAGGTGGGTGGTGCTGCAGGTGGGTGGTGCTGCAGGTGGGTGGTGCTGCAGGTGGGTTGTGCTGCAGGTGGGTGGTGCTGCAGGTGGGTGGTGCTGCAGGTGGGTTGTGCTGCAGGTGGGTGGTGCTGCAGGGTGGGTGGTGCTGCAGGTGGGTGGTGCTGCAGGTGGGTGGTGCTGCAGGTGGGTGGTGCTGCAGGTGGGTGGTGCTGCAGGTGGGTTGTGCTGCAGGTGGGTGGTGCTGCAGGTGGGTGGTGCTGCAGGTGGGTGGTGCTGCAGGTGGGTGGTGCTGCAGGTGGGTGGTGCTGCAGGTGGGTTGTGCTGCAGGTGGGTGGTGCTGCAGGTGGGTTGTGCTGCAGGTGGGTGGTGCTGCAGGAGGGTGGTGCTGCAGTTGGGTGGTGCTGCAGGTGGGTGGTGCTGCAGGAGGGTGGTGCTGCAGGTGGGTGGTGCTGCAGGTGGGTGGTGCTGCAGGAGGGTGGTGCTGCAGGTGGGTGGTGCTGCAGGTGGGTGGTGCTGCAGGAGGGTGGTGCTGCAGGAGGGTGGTGCTGCAGGTGGGTGGTGCTGCAGGTGGGTGGTGCTGCAGGTGGGTGGTGCTGCAGGTGGGTGGTGCTGCAGGTGGGTGGTGCTGCAGGTGGGTGGTGCTGCAGGTGGGTGGTGCTGCAGGTGGGTGGTGCTGCAGGTGGGTTGTGCTGCAGGTGGGTTGTGCTGCAGGTGGGTGGTGCTGCAGGTGGGTGGTGCTGCAGGTGGGTGGTGCTGCAGGTGGGTGGTGCTGCAGGTGGTTGGTGCTGCAGGTGGGTTGTGCTGCAGGTGGGTGGTGCTGCAGGTGGGTGGTGCTGCAGGTGGGTGGTGCTGCAGGTGGGTGGTGCTGCAGGTGGGTGGTGCTGCAGGTGGGTGGTGCTGCAGGTGGGTGGTGCTGCAGGTGGGTGGTGCTGCAGGTGGGTGGTGCTGCAGGTGGGTTGTGCTGCAGGTGGGTGGTGCTGCAGGTGGGTGGTGCTGCAGGTGGGTGGTGCTGCAGGTGGGTGGTGCTGCAGGTGGTTGGTGCTGCAGGTGGGTGGTGCTGCAGGTGGGTGGTGCTGCAGGTGGGTGGTGCTGCAGGTGGGTGGTGCTGCAGGTGGGTGGTGCTGCAGGTGGGTGGTGCTGCAGGTGGGTGGTGCTGCAGGTGGGTGGTGCTGCAGGTGGGTGGTGCTGCAGGTGGGTGGTGCTGCAGGTGGGTGGTGCTGCAGGTGGGTGGTGCTGCAGGTGGGTTGTGCTGCAGGTGGGTGGTGCTGCAGGTGGGTGGTGCTGCAGGTGGGTGGTGCTGCAGGTGGGTGGTGCTGCAGGTGGGTGGTGCTGCAGGTGGGTGGTGCTGCAGGTGGGTGGTGCTGCAGGTGGGTGGTGCTGCAGGTGGGTTGTGCTGCAGGTGGGTGGTGCTGCAGGTGGGTGGTGCTGCAGGTGGGTGGTGCTGCAGGTGGGTGGTGCTGCAGGTGGGTGGTGCTGCAGGTGGGTGGTGCTGCAGGTGGGTGTGCTGCAGGTGGGTGGTGCTGCAGGTGGGTGGTGCTGCAGGTGGGTGGTGCTGCAGGTGGGTGGTGCTGCAGGTGGGTGGTGCTGCAGGTGGGTGGTGCTGCAGGTGGGTGGTGCTGCAGGTGGGTGGTGCTGCAGGTGGGTGGTGCTGCAGGTGGGTGGTGCTGCAGGTGGGTGGTGCTGCAGGTGGGTGGTGCTGCAGGTGGGTGGTGCTGCAGGTGGGTGGTGCTGCAGGTGGGTGGTGCTGCAGGTGGGTGGTGCTGCAGGTGGGTGGTGCTGCAGGTGGGTGGTGCTGCAGGTGGGTGGTGCTGCAGGTGGGTGGTGCTGCAGGTGGGTGGTGCTGCAGGTGGGTGGTGCTGCAGGTGGGTTGTGCTGCAGGTGGGTGGTGCTGCAGGTGGGTGGTGCTGCAGGTGGGTGGTGCTGCAGGTGGGTGGTGCTGCAGGTGGGTGGTGCTGCAGGTGGTTGGTGCTGCAGGTGGGTGGTGCTGCAGGTGGGTGGTGCTGCAGGTGGGTGGTGCTGCAGGTGGGTGGTGCTGCAGGTGGGTGGTGCTGCAGGTGGGTGGTGCTGCAGGTGGGTTGTGCTGCAGGTGGGTGGTGCTGCAGGTGGGTGGTGCTGCAGGTGGGTGGTGCTGCAGGTGGGTGGTGCTTCAGGTGGGTTGGTGCTGCAGGTGGGTTGTGCTGCAGGTGGTTGGTGCTGCAGGTGGGTGGTGCTGCAGGTGGGTGGTGCTGCAGGTGGGTGGTGCTGCAGGTGGTTGGTGCTGCAGGTGGGTGGTGCTGCAGGTGGGTGGTGCTGCAGGTGGGTGGTGCTGCAGGTGGGTGGTGCTGCAGGTGGGTGGTGCTGCAGGTGGGTGGTGCTGCAGGTGGGTGGTGCTGCAGGTGGGTGGTGCTGCAGGTGGGTGGTGCTGCAGGTGGGTTGTGCTGCAGGTGGGTGGTGCTGCAGGTGGGTGGTGCTGCAGGTGGGTGGTGCTGCAGGTGGGTGGTGCTGCAGGAGGGTGGTGCTGCAGGTGGGTGGTGCTGCAGGTGGGTGGTGCTGCAGGTGGGTGGTGCTGCAGGTGGGTGGTGCTGCAGGAGGGTGGTGCTGCAGGAGGGTGGTGCTGCAGGTGGGTGGTGCTGCAGGAGAGTGGTGCTGCAGGAGGGTGGTGCTGCAGGTGGGTGGTGCTGCAGGTGGGTGGTGCTGCAGGTGGGTGGTGCTGCAGGTGGGTGGTGCTGCAGGAGGGTGGTGCTGCAGGAGGGTGGTGCTGCAGGAGGGTGGTGCTGCAGGAGGGTGGTGCTGCAGGAGGGTGCAGGCTGGGCTTGCTCTTGGAGAAGCGTGAGTGAGGTGTCTCAAGGGGAGTGGGAGTGGGAGTGGGAGTGGGAGTGGGAGTGGGAGTGGGGAAGTGCATGCTGGGCTGGGCTAGCCCTTGGAGCTGGCGTGAAGGTGTGTCGGGGGAGGACGGAGGAGTGCATGCCAGTGCTGGGAGAGCGCCATTCGGATATCATCACGTCCGTTGTACCACAGGTGACTTTGCTGTGCTGCAGGTGGGTTTGTCCTCCTAGTGTGTGTTCCCCCTCCCTCCTGCTGTGTATCCTCCCTCTCTCCTGCTGTGAATCCTCTCCAAGAACTCTATCTGTGTCCTTCTCTGCTTGTGCTGCTTCCGCCCGATCCTTGCCACAACCCCAATTCCTCTTCTCCCTTCTCTTTTCTCTCTTCTCGCTGTGTGCATCCGTGCATGCATGCACATGTGCTCATTCATGCATGCATATGTGCTCATTCATGCATGCATATGTGCTCATTCATGCATGCATATGTGCTCATTCATGCATGCATATGTGCTCATTCATGCATGGACATGTACATGTGCACGCACACACCAGGATGACTTTCTGCCCCGTGTGATGCACCCGCTCGCTCTAGTATTTGGAGTCACCTTCTGGTGAGCACCCCTTGAGGCGCCTCAAAAGTCACCTTGGCCCGGCTCCTCAACTACCATGCATTTCGCCTTCTTGCTCTTTTTTCTAATTATTTGTTTTCTCAGTTGTATGAGTGGGTCCTTGCACCCCCATACTCTCCTCCTCCTCCTCCTCCTCCTCCTCCTCCTCCTCCTCCTCCTCCTCCTCCTCCTCCTCCTCCACCCCCATACTCTCCTCCTCCTCCTCCTCCTCTTCCTCCTCCTCCTCCTCCTCCTCCTCCTCCTCCTCCTCCTCCTCCTCCTCCTCCTCCTCCTCCTCCTCCTCCTCCACCCCCATACTCTCCTCCTCCTCCTCCTCCTCCTCCTCCTCCTCCTCCTCCTCCTCCTCCTCCTCCTCCTCCTCCTCCTCCTCCTCCTCCTCCTCCTCCTCCTCCTCCTCCTCCTCCTCTTCCTCCTCCTCCCCCTCCCCCTCCTCCTCCTCCTGCCCAGCCCGTTGCACCCTATCGTTCCCTGTGTCACACATGCCTCCCTTTCCCATCCTTCCCACTGCTACAGGAGGACTCCTGTCGATATCCTTTTTGTACCTCCCTCTCTTCCACCTCCTCCCCCTCCCCTCCTCCACATGCTCCTCCCCTTCCCCTCCTCCACATGCTCCTCCCCTTCCCCTCCTCCACATGCTCCTCCACCTTCCCTACGGCTCACATGCTTTCCCATGATCTCCGTCTCGCCTCCCCTCACAGCCCGCAGTCTGCTCTTGGTGCTGCAGTGCTCGTGCTGCATAAAGCCATATTGAAGCCTTTCCCTCCCCTTGTCGTCACCCTCTCGTTTCGCCTATTTTCATTACCCCTCCCCTCTGGCCCATGTCTGATGAACTCTAGATCTTGCCCATTACCAGCCCCTCCCCTTTCTCCTGCCCTTCTCGCTCCCTCCCCACACAGTCTGCCGTGTGTGCTGCAATATTCATGCTGCCACGACACGTGTGTGCCGGAGCAGAAGAGACTGGCGGATCCCAGAAGGCTCTATGCACCTGGCCGCCTCTACCACATGCTCTACACACAGCGCTGCAGGTGATCCATCTATAACTAAATGAAGACACATCTATGAGGGTGAGAGAGCCTACCACATGCTCAGCCTTCTCCCCAACCCGTATGAACCCTCCACGGTCATTGCAGCCTATTCTCTGTTCTCCTGACAAGCTCTTATATCTCCATACATGTATTTCCCTTCCACTCCCACCCACCTACCCTCCCACTCCCATCCACCTCTTACCCGCCCACTCCCATCCACGTCTTATTCCCCCGCAACTTCACACATGACACCTGGCACCACTGATCACATGCCACGTGACGCACAACACACGGCAGCTGTGAGGACCTGCCCCCGGTGGCGCTGACGGCCATTCCAGTGGAGGGGCGGTTTGAGCACGTGGTGCTGTCGCGCACTGCCACTCGCGACCACACGCTGCCCCTTATCGCTGCGAAACTGCACCAGTTCCTGCAGGTGATTATAGATAGTTGTGATTGTGTGAGTGTAGAGAGTTGTGCAGGTGACCATGGGGGATTTGTGCTCGTGTGACTGTGGCGAGTTGTGGAGGTGACTACATGGATTTGTGCCGATGTGCTTGTAGGGAGTCATGCAGGTGATTATACGGAGTTGTGCTGGTGGTGAGATTCCAAGTCATGCAGTGGCAAAACCGGATAATCTTCAGCCTTTGTCCGGTCCCTTCCGCACGCTTGCCTCACTGTGAATAAACTGACCTGTAGCAAGACCTTGTTTTGTGAAATAGCCTCGTGGCACAACGATTCTCCACTGTGTGCCCCACCCCAACCCCAACCCCAACTCTAAACCCAACCCAAAATCCAATTTCCAATCCAAAGCCAATTCCGACCCCAATTTCAACCCCAAACCCAACCCGAACCACAATTGTCACCCGTGCCAGACGGTGGACGAGCCTGATGCTGAAGCAGAAGGCAAGGGGGATGAGCAGCAGCCAGTCGTGATGACACCACCAGCAGAAGAGGTGATGGAGCGCGGAACGGGAGCAACAGCAGCAGCAGCCGGATCAGCAGGAGCATCAGAAGCAGGCGACTTGGAGGAGAAGCAGCCGTCTTTGCAAGACCAGAAACAGCACGAGTCGCAGCGCCAGTCGCAGCGTCATCAGCCTTCGCAGCTGCAGCAGCAGCGCCAGCTGCAGCATCTCAAGTCCCTCGAGCGCTGCCTCACACTGGGAATACCCAATGCCAAGGACCCTGCTGTGCTTGCAGCAGACTATGAGAGGGATGATGAGGGGGAGGAAGAGGAGGAAGTGGAGGAGGATGGGATGCAGGTGGGGCAGTCAGACTCGGACAGAACGTCCACAGGAGATGCTCAGGGTGTGCAGTCGGAGAGTGGCGAGGCTGATAAAACTGCCGCCGGTAGCAGTAGTAGTGCTGGTGGCGGTGGTGGGAAGCCGCTGCAGGCGCATGAATCGTCAGCGCAAGTGCACAAGCGGTGGCAGGATCTGATAGAAGCGTTGATGTCTGATGAGGTAGGGGGTGCCAGGGCAGGGGGTTCAGGTGATGTTATAAAAGAGTGCCCATCCGGAGGCAGTGCGGGCCATGGGCAAAGTGGGGCTGGAGGTAAAGGGTTTGCATTTAGGAGTATGAGTTGGAGGCAGCCATCGTTTGGTGCTCGTCAATCATCTGGGGCCGAAAATGAACACGAGAAGAAAGGATGGGGAAGGGTGAGGCAGGCCGTGAGAGATGGGAACACGGGAGGAAATCAAAGTAGCGAGGAACAAGGTGAACAGTAGGTGACATGCTTTAGAAATCATGCATGTAGTCTAGCTTCTCATTTGAGTTGTGATTGTTTTAATGAAATAGCTGGCAGTAACCTTGTTGAGGATGCGTTGATGAGCTGGAGAACTTGGGACCTAGGCATAAGCCATCCCTGCCGCCACTTCGTCCGAGCCACAGAACATGCCTCGGAGTCCCACAAACCATGTGCCTGCCTCATTTCCAAACCAGAATTCGTATAGCCCGAACCGAAATCTCCCGCGTGCTCCAGCTGACGGAGGTCGGTCTCAACTTACAAGTGTGACAATGACGTGGCGTGGCGCCGCAAACGGAGGGGATCTTTCCGAGACTCTAGGGGAGGGGGAAAGCTGCGTCAGTAAGTGGAATCCAGCGAGGCATCCGAAAGCCCATGTGGCCAGTGGGAGATAGCCATGTCCCCTCTAACCTGGGCTGTCCCCTATGTAGGATGCCATATCGATTCCCGCTGTCACGGCCAGCCACGCGTGATGCCAACCAAAATGTCTTCCACCCCAATGTCCGGCCCATCTGTCCCCTCACCGTCCCTCCGAACCATACATATCTCAGCGCTGGAAAGGTACTCAAATTCAACAAACTCAGCTTGCTGAATCTCATTTCGTGATTTTGTGATTTTAGGTTTTGCTTCTTGTTGCGATTCAAGAAGCTTTCTCTATCACTCCGACCAGCTCGTCAGCTTCCGAAACTTGAAGCCATGGCCCCCGAGCCCGTCCGCGTGCTTGTCACCGGTGCCGCCGGTCAGTAAAAGTTTGTTACACATAGGAAACGTTTTTTAGGGACACCAGCATGAGTCTCAATCTCTGATCCTGGAACCACTATGCGCGTTGTTATCATGTGCAGGTCAAATTGGATATGCCTTGGTGCCCATGATTGCTCGTGGCATTCTCCTCGGCCCTGACCAGCCGGTCATCCTTCACCTTCTTGATATCCCTCTTGCCGAGAGCTCCCTCAATGGCGTCCGCATGGAGCTCATTGACGCCGCTTTCCCCCTCATTCACGGTAAGCCCATCTACTCCTGAAACGCTGCTGTTCCCGCAAGGTCTAAATAATTTGAGAATGTAGATCCATAGTCTGAAACACGTCGATCGTTCTTGAGGAGATCCCGTTTTTGTTTCACCGTCTGGTATGTTCAGGGGTCGTCGCGACGACGGATGTTGAGGAGGCATGCAAGGGTGTCCAGGTGGCCATTATGGTGGGAGGTTTCCCCCGCAAGGCCGGCATGGAGCGCAAGGACGTTATGTCCAAGAACGTCTCCATCTACCGCGATCAGGCCTCCGCTCTGGAGAAGTTCGCCGACAAGGACTGCAAGGTGTGTGCCCTCTCGAGCATCTGACTTACAGAATCTCTCAGCTCTCGCAGCGTTGGAATATCCCCGTCTTGATTCTGGATATAACGACCAGTCCCAGTATCTTCTATAGAGATTCTTTGAGCCTTCGTGTTCGCTCCTTACCTTCCATGCTAAAGAATAAACCGCTACGAAGCATTCACTAGATTTACGTTTCGGCTCGCATCAGCGCACGTACATCTATTACGCTTCCCTCTTCCCACACGATCCCGACAGGTGGTGGTCGTTGCCAACCCCGCCAACACCAACGCGCTCATCCTCAAGGAGTTCGCGCCCAAGTTCCCCGCCAAGAACATCACCTGCCTTACCCGCCTGGACCACAACCGCGCTCTCGGCCAGATCTCGGAGCGCCTGGGCGTGCCGGTGGCGAACGTGAAGAACACCATCATCTGGGGCAACCACTCGTCTACCCAGTACCCCGATGTGAACCACGCCGTCGTCCTCACTCCTGAGGGCGAGAAGGCCGTGCGCGAGCTTGTCAAGGACGACGCTTGGTACGTCAACGGTCTCATTGACTGGCTTGAACATAGACTGGCCTGAACGCCTTCTTCACACTAACATACACCATACTGAAATCTACGTAACCAGGTTGAAGAAACAGACTCGGCATTGATCTCGTCACGCTTGCTGAATGGTGTGCAGGCTCGATGGCGATTTCATCAAGACCGTTCAGCAACGTGGTGCCGCCATCATTGCGGCCCGCAAGTTCTCCAGTGCTCTGTCCGCTGCTTCCTCTGCCTGCGACCACATCCGGAACTGGGTGAAGGGCACACCCGAGGTAATGGTCGCTTGCACAATATGAGATTGTTTGCTGTTCCGAGATTACCGTTTCAGCCTGCGTCATTCGAGGTTCTTTTCGCTTCGCTCTGATTCATGCTTTGATTGTTCCGTTCTGCAGGGCTCATGGGTGTCCATGGGAGTGATTTCTGACGGTTCGTACGGCGTTCCCAAGGACATCATCTACTCCTTCCCTGTCACCTGCAAGGATGGCGAGTGGACCATTGTGCAAGGTAACGATTTCTCTTGTACTTCGTCTCTGTGCCCTCCGTCTCCAGCCGTCAAACATTTCATCCGTGACATCGTCGACTCTTCCCTGTTTTTTAAGCTTCTTTATGCTCTCCGTCCCCAGTCGTCTCATTAACTTCCGTTGTGTCTCTGTATCAATCCGTCTTGGTTAACCTGGCAGGGCTGTCAATCGATGCCAACTCAAGGGCGAAGATGGACGCCACAGCAGCAGAGCTTGTCGAGGAGAAGGAGCTTGCATACGAGTGCCTGAAGGCGTAAAGCTTAGATTTGCAGGTCTTCAACTGTCTATGTTGATCTCGTATACGACATCAATGAGAAATTTTGTTTTACAGGTAGAGCCAGCTGTTGCACAGGCGGACTCACACCACAATCCTCAACATTCAAATCATGCTAACTGCCACTAGGTCAGCTGGGGTTAGGACAGGAGATTATATGGGATGGCCACCTTGCATGGCCATCCTTTCCATTCTTCTGAAATGATAGGGAAAATGTTTGGGCATGATTGTGGCAGAAGAGACCCACGAGAGGGAAAGAGGTGTTGGGCTGAGAAAGCCCTTAGGATCTTTGCATGACTAAACTCTGAGGAGGAACAATGAAATTGCGGAAGCGTTTAATGATAAGTCTGTGAACCACCTTGCGCTGGAGTGGGAGGGCAAAGTAGATTGATTTAAGTAAAGAAATACAGGCTTTTATAAGAGTACAAGGGAACATGAAAGGTTATACCTAATAACTGTTTCGCTGTTGCTGTTGCGGTTCGATACAGTGACGACTCGGGCAACTGCTCAATAACGAGTCAGTTGTTTGTCCTTGCTGTCGCGCTGTACTTGTCAGGTCAAAGGTCGCTGACCTTTGACTTTCGCGTAACCTCCAGCAGTTGTTCAACCTCCGAGGGTTGACTCGCCGATGCTTCACTGTACTTCCCTTCGTTTACGACTTAGGGTACATTCCGCTCTGGACATGTCCCAATCGTACATGTCCCAATCGATTCCACCGCACTGCATCTTATTACACCGAAATACACCCTAGTTTCAAACATTGTCAAAATTTTCGCGTCTCTGGTTTAGTTCGGTTCGGAGCGGTACACCCGATTGGGACATGTACGATTGGGACATGTACGATTGCGGAATGTACCCTTAGTGCTTCGACACGACAGAGGCGCTTAAATTACTTGTTTCCAACACTCCCCTTCGTTTCTGGAGTGTCGTTGCTGGTGACGTGGCCTTGTCCAGTCAGCAGCATGCAGTACTCAAACTTCTGCTTTCCGAGTTTCTTGGTCAAGTAATCAGTTGCCATCTCAAACGTGGGGCAGTAGGACAGCTCGAGTCTCCCCTTCTCGATCTCGTCCTTCACGAAGAAATATCGCAGGGCGATGTGTTTCGTCCTGTTCGCGAATCCGTTTTTGTTGGCGATGCGAATTGCAGACTGGTTGTCGCAAAACAGGGAGAAGCTGGGTAACTGGGCCAGCTTCGCCTCCTCCATCAGTTCAATAAAGTACAATCCTTTCTTGGTGGCTGAGCAGAGTGCAATATATTCTGCTTCAGCTGAGGAGAGAGCGATTAGCTCCTGTTTGCTCGACTGCCACGAGATAGGTCCGATAGGTTCGAAGCGGTAAATGTAGCCGGTGCGTGAACGCCTGTTGTCGGGGTCACCGGCATGGTCAGCGTCGATATAGCCGATTAACTTAGGTGTCGTGGTTCCGTTCTTGTGATAAGTTCGACCGATCGTCGGGGTGCTGACGAGGTAGTGGAGTGCGCGGTCGAGCTCCGCCATGTGTTCCGCCTCAGGTTTCTTGAGGTAGGTGGCAAGTTGGCTCGCTGAATACGATAGGTCCGGTCGACAAGTGACGGCCGCGAAGAGAAGGCATCCCAGCTTTCGTTGGTAGTCACGTATGCCGGCGGGCTTGAGCAGAGCGGAGCTTCCCTTGTGATTTCCTGCGATGTAGCGGTACGGCGTGGAGATGGCGGCTGGAGTTAGTCCAAAACGCTTGGCGATAGTGTCGGTGTATTTTGCGGCGCTGAGATAGATTGCGTTCTCTTCTTCTTGAATGTTGAGGTCAATGTATTGCGTCACGGTAGATGAGACCGTGAGCGTGAGGTCCTTGATGTTCACGTTGAACGAAGCGACCCGAGGAGCACATATGCTGTCCGCAGCAACTGTCCAAGAACCAAGTGTCCTTTCCGGAAGGCTCGCTCTGGGCGATGGCTGCGTATATCGGGTTCGGTTCCAATGTCTCACGGCGAGGAGTGCTTTCGTCAAGTTGTTCTTCTGGTGAGTAGTGTGGTGGAGACTCAGTGATGCAGGAGTCTGATAGTCTTGCCATGCAGCTCACGATGTTTCTTGCTCCTTGTGCAGGTTGCGTTGTTGTCGAGACTTGAGCTTGAGGAGTTGGATGAGCTTGTGTTGAGGCAACTTGGTGGCTCGAAGGTCGAAGCTGTCGTTGTGGCGTTGTTGACTGTCGCAAACTCGGACAGTGTGTATGGGGGTGTCCAAACGTCTTGCAGAGATGACAAAACGGTGGTACGTGCTGCTGCTGTTGTTGCTTATTCTGTCGGTTGGAGTTGTTGAAGCGCCGTTGGGTGTGAAATGCGAACTCAGGTACTAATGTCTTCCTCTTGTGTCGTTCCTCGTGCAGATCCATGTCTTGCTGTTCGGCGTGAATTTCGGCATAGAGTGCCGCTTCAGAGATCTTTCTGTGGGCTCGAATAATGGCTCGAGTGGAGCGCCAATGGGGACCAAGACCGCCAATGACGAATGTGACGAAGGCGTCTTCCGATATTGACCCTCTGCACCAAAGGAGTTTGTCGCGCAATTCGCGACAGCGACTGATATACGCCATCCCTTTTCCGTCCGGTTTCATTTCCACTGTTGTCAGTTGTGCCATTAACCGACTCTGATTGACGCTGTCTGTTGCCTGATACAGGTTCTTCAGGTGGTTGTACGAAAGCTCGGCGGAGTTGCCGTATCCCCGGTAAGACCGAATGTTCTGCTGCTGATTCGGAGTGATGTTCCTCAGCAGAATTGTGTATGCCATCATTGACTGATGTATGTACTGCTGCTTGTCGTACTGTGTGCCGTGTGTTGGATATGGTAGGGACCCGTCGAAGAAGCCAAGAATTTGCGCGCCTTCCATCATCAACTCGAACTCGAATGACCAGGTAAAGAAATCATTCCCGTCGAACGGTCTTGATGTCCGAAGTTTTAAGACGTGCGCAGCGACTGGACTTGAAGTGCGTCTAACGTAATCTCTTGCTCAGATGAAGGCTGCTGACACGGCATGAAGCTGACGGAACCGCGCTGGGGTCCGTACGGGGCGAAGGTAGGTTGTTGTTGCTGATTTCCTCGCGTGTAGGATGAACCGTCGAGGCTCATTGGTGTCACGTTGTTGTTGTTGTTGTTGTTTGACTGCGCAGGTGCCCCTTGCTGGTGTTGTTCGTAGAAGGACATGAAGGAGAAGAACTTCTCCATCATGCTTGGGTCGAAGCCCGCGGCTTGATTTGCGGGAGTTTCAGTAGACCCAGCTGCCGGTCTTGTTGCTGTGCCCTCCTCTGTCTGTAGGCCAGAGGCAGGAGGTGGAGTAGGAGTAGTACCGGGAGAGCCGTTAGAGGAGCTTCTCTCCTTCTATGTAGCCATGCCTTCTGATATTGTGGATATCTTGATAGTGGAGTCTGCCCTGACAGCTCTCATACCATGTTGGGTTGAGAAAGCCCTTAGGATCTTTGCAGGACTAAACTCTGAGTAGGAACAATGTAATAGCGGAAGCATTTAATGATAAGTCTGTGAACCACCTTGCGCTGGTGTGTGAGGACAAAGTAGACTGATTAAAGTAAAGAGATACAGGCTTTTATAAGAGTACAAGGGAATATGAAAGGTTATACCTAATAACTGTTTTACTGTTGCTGTTACGGTTCGATACAGTGACGACTCGAGCAACTGCTCAATAACGAGTCAGTTGTTTGTCCTTGCTGTCGCGCTGTACTTGTCAGGTCAAAGGTCGCTAACCTTTGACTTTCGCGTAACCTCCAGCAGTTGTTCAACCTCCGAGGGTTGACTCGCCGATGCTTCACTGTACTTCGCTTCGTTTACGACTTAGTGCTTCGACACGACAGAGGCGCTAAAATTACTTGTTTCCAACAAGAGGGTGCAGCCTATGTGCAGGCCTATGCATGCTGGAATGCAAACTGGTTGTATTCAACACCTGAAAAATCTGAGGCATGATAGGGTACCACTGTCAGAATGTTGTATTTGTCTAGCCTGCAGTGGGGTACTCTATAGCGAGTGTTAGAATGTAGAACTGAACGAGAATGTGTGAAACTAGGCAGCAGGGTGATACAAGTAGGAAACCCTAGCAATGTTGTACCCCCTAAGGCTAAACCCACTATAGCCTACACAATATGAACATGTATAATGTTTGACACACCCCCATAGGCTAAGTGGGAGACAACCAGATGGTCACAAGACCAGTCAAAGCAAAGCAAAGCAAGCTCAGGGTGGATCTCAAGGAAACCACACAAATTCCGAGCACAAGCAAGTGGTCACAAGACCAGTTCACATGCAGTTTGATAATATAACAAGAGGTACAGTGATCACAACCTAACAAGAGTAAACATGCAGGTATATATGTATAGAGATCACAGTACAAGCAGAGTCAAGAAGTGAGCAAGTGAGGGAGAGTAGGCACAAGGCCTAGAACAGTACAGAAACGCTGATGGTCACAAGGCTGAAGCGCCTTGGTGAACACATCAGCAGTGTTGGCCCGAGTGGCCACGTAACGCAGACGAAGCTGACCACGCTGCTGCAGCTCTCGAGCAAGGAAGTAGCGCAGAGCGATGTGCTTCGTCCTGTGCTCCAGTCTGTGCTCCTCACACAAGGCAATGGCGGCCTTGTTGTCAACGTACAGCACTGGAGGAGAACGAGGCCGCTCTCCCAGGTCGGTCAGCAGGTAGGTGAGCCAGCGTAACTCCTGTGCAGCCATGGCTGTGGCGTAGATCTCAGCCTCACAACTGGAGCTGAGAACAGAAGAAGAGCGAGTAGAACGCCAAGAAACTGAACCAGAGCCAAGGCTGAAGGTGTAACCCTGAGACGACCGCTGCGTAGCCTGGTCGTCAGCCCAAGAAGCGTTTGAGTGACCCGTGAGGACAACGTCGCTCCGACCTCCAAGCACGAGCCCCATGCCCGACGTACTGCACAAGTAGCGCAACACCCTCTTAGCGGCATCCATGTGCTCCTTCCGGTGACGGCCGGGAGCGACATAGCGTGCT